CCCGTGTCGCCCTCACCGCATTGCTTAAGGTAGGTCAGAGGTTAGGTGTAATGCGGGCTTAAAGCATTACTATTAGAGAAACGCTCGACGTCAATGGGCGTCAGCCTTGAATCAGCTGTTTGCTTTCAATGTTGACCAGTATTAATGCAACGCGTGTTCTATAAAACTTGTGTACTTCAGTTATCAGAGTCGTTCTTTCGGTATGCATAGAAATATGTTGTCTATAATTATTGTCTATCGATGTGTACAGCAAATAATAAATGATATTTTACTTTATATATATGTATGAGGATAGAACGGTTTTGCTCATTTTTTTTTACTTCCTTTAACTTAACAAACTTAAATTCAAAATTAAATTATTAAATTAATAAATAAACCTCAACCGTCATTTTTATATACTAATTTTTTTTCGAACTTTAAAATCGACTTTCTAGAAATGTCAAATATAATCTGTATGTTATTTATTTATTTATTTATCATACATAGTATAAAATAGAATTGAAAGAATTTCTATTGTTTCTTTTTCAAAAAGAAAAAAAAAGATATTGATTACGAATAAAAAAATTATGAAATTTTTTTTATCTTAACCTTACTTTTTTTATAGTCTATTGGAAAATGGAATCCTTGTAAAATTAATGAGATCGTTTTTATAATAAATAATATTAGAAAATCTTTTCTAATTGACTCGATAATTCTTAACATCATAAAACATATAATTGTAAATTTCTACGACTGTATAACATTGTTTCTTATTTTCGATACTGGATTGTTCTTCGAGTAAATTAAATCTTCCAATTATTTCGAATTGCGTACTCGGTCGGTACATTGACCTTTATCGATTTCACTTTCAGAGATACTTCCGTACTATGGTAGAACAGAAAGTTAAGGGTCACCGATTCTCTATTGTTTAGATGACTCTTCTTCTCCTAGTTTTTATTCTAGAAAAGTGTGTGTATTGTGAATCACCCTGTAACCATATCTAGACGTTGTTGGTTCATATTGTATTTTCGTCGATGAGTGTACATTCGCGTGTTTTCACTCGTCATCGGATGAAAGAGATTGGATCGTTAACAGGTTTTAAGAGAGGGGAAAAGAAAATCGGTTACGTCATACGTGAAACGGTATGGATACTAAAATCGAATCGTAAAATCGATTAAAATCGAGTAAATTTTTTTCTTCAATGATATCGATTTGCTTATATATTCTTTTTCTTAAATATCATTTATTTAAAGAAAATTTTATAATATTAATATCATGTTATATTATATTGTTCATATTATCTTCTTATTAAAAAAAGATATTTTAATTTATTTATTTAATTAATATAAAAATCGCATATTCACGAACACACGATCATACGTATAATAATATGGTTTTTTTTTTTATATTTTATAAACATACAGAAAACGTAAAAAGTATTTTAAAAAATATCGTAAAAAAATAATAAAGAATAAATTTTTTAATCCAATATAAAATATGTAAAATTTCAAGTGTGATTTGTCTTTCCGAATTGTATCAGATATTTTTGAGAGCGACTGTACGCGACTCGATGAGAGACACGTTCCTCTCCAGTGTAAATCTTTTATTAGAATTATATTCTCTTGTATTTTTCATAACTGCCTTTTCACGTCGAGTTCGCATGCCGGATTAAAGCGCGTGCACCTCGTTGGATATTCTCGGAGAATACAGAGGGGCACGAAACACACGGCAAACTTTGACTCATAGTTTATTGCGATCGTTTCCATTTTTACTTTCTTTCTCCACGAGGTTTTTTCGTCACTCGTGCGGTTGAAATGATCGATACTGTGGAACTATGGCACCGACAATACGAGAATGGAAAACTTCGTCGATATTTCCTAGGTCCTTTTTCGCTCTTACACATTATTATTATCTATATATCGTTGCTCTAGTTTTTTTTTTTTTTTCAAATTTTATAGTTATATAGTAAATGGAATATTTATGATAAAAATATTACGGAGAATTCATTCATCGAAATTTCTTATGTTATAAATCTAAGCTTGGAAGAAGAGCATGAAAATATATGAATTGCTGAAAATTTAAAAAGATTATAAATTAATCTCCACTTATATACGGGATATTAATATTTTTGTTCGTGACACAAATACAAAGAAATTGGTATACAAAAAAGTTGAGTCAAGACTTATTTATTAAATTCATAAATTTTTCAAGATTACATTGAAGATGAAGTACAATGAAGATAAAGTATAATCATTTTGTTTTAATCACTATATATATTGCTGTCAATATATTAATACTTAATTGGCCGGTAATATTTATAATTTTGGTGAATTTTATGCTTTTTTAAATTTAAAAATTTTACCTAAAAAAAAATAAAAAAAGTTAGTTTGATTTTCTCTTAAATTCATAAAATTTGTAAATTATTGTCGATTGTTGACGAAATTATTGACTATGAACAGCAACAATTATTCAAATATCGATTCTATTATTATTTTTAACTCGTTAAAAAATATTAAACTCGAAAATTTTTTTTACTTTCAAATAATAATGAAATTATCGTAATGATGGAAAAAATATCTAGAAATATTATAGGAATAAATTTTTTTTCTACTTTTTCTCTAACTAGTAGAAAACATAAGTACGCTGTCGATAATTACAAAAGAACGGTAGTGTTCCTTGAACGCTTTCGAGAAATAAGAACCTTTCACTTCTTTCGTGCGTTCCTCCAGTTTACACGGTTACTGGCGTTTTCATCGTATTACTGTTATTGTTCTTGCTTGCACATAATGGACATATCTGCGAAAGTTATATATTTTTCTCTCACTGCCGATAAAAGTATGTAATCGGTATATTTCCTCGCCAAGCTTCCGCGATAACAAGATAATATCGACATAACTTGCGTTTAAATCTTCAACGTGTTAAATATCAAGAAATTTTATTTACCTTCAAACATTGGTCATCGATGACACTCGTATTCGACACTCGTATCCATTTCAAAAATCTTGACAAAAATATTTTAAAGTCATTTCTCGATTAAAGAAATAATTTAATGCATTTTTAGATAGATACGATAAAAAGAATAAAATAAATTTATCAATAAAATTTTTGTGAAATCTTTCTTCTTTGTTAAGTTATTTAAAAAATTTCCAATTGATATAAACATTAAGAAATTTTTGCAATTTTTGATTATGAATTTATCCATTAAATATAACAATTTCGAAATTTTAATATTTTCAATATCGTTTGCACGAAAGTCGCTTTTTGTCTTCCATGTTACACACATGTAAGTGTTTCGTCATATGTGATACGATTGCAAATACTTGCGACAAGGTGTACATTCGTTCGATGTCTCATCCCACGTCAATACTCGAATCTGTTCCACGAACGTTTGCTCGAAAAAACTACGGTCACGTTACACGACCGACACGAAGAATCAGAACGAATTATAACCTATAAACAAAATAATTCGATTACCTTGAATATCTCATTTGGTTGGACGTAATTTGATTTTATGATTCAAAAACTTATCTAAAATATTTTTGTCGTCATTTTAAATAAACTAACAGATTAATTATTTTTATGCTCATTAAAAGACGTTATTGATTCGACATGTGACCGATGAATCATTATTATGAAATTTAGGTCAAGTCGAGAAAAATGTGCATTCTCGAAGTATAAAAACAAAAATTAATATTTTCGATCGTCTGTCGCCCTCTATATATACCATCATTGTGTCTTGTGCTGAGCTCGATTTGGATCGTCTCAACTTCGGTCATTTTAAGACTAGCGAGAAAGAAACTAGACACTAGCGAGATCTACATATATGTGTGGAGGATCGTCACATGTTCCGGATCGGTCTACGAGCCCAATAGAGTTTTACGTCACTACGTAGCACGCGGTAAACAAGTATTCGCGAAACGAGTTTGGCATATTGCCAAAGATTTGCGTATATTCCCGCGATATATGTCCGCCCATATCACCGTCACTTTACATTACTCCTGTCAAGATCGTGTTAAACGACGCTGTTCCTTCTCTTCCGGTAAATTTTATTCTGCAACTTGTGACATAAAAAAATTAATTCGGTAACGGAATATTTTATTTGTAATTTTTTTTTTTTCAGTTAGTGAATCAATCGAAATCTATACTTTTATTGTTATTATTATTGTGTATATTGTTTATTAATTGTTTTATTTTTCTATTTTTATTTCGTTTCCACTCGATCGATCACTGTAGATTATCTATAATTTAAAATAGTTACTTATAGATATCTCTGATGAACTATGATTTTGTTGCATTTACATTGATATATACACTAGGCTGAAAGTTATTTATCTTATCGGTGGTATTACGTTTGCTTTGCAAACATTATCTATCACCTTGCCCATTAAATTTGGTAGATAAAATTATTCCAACGTAACCTTGTTCAAGGGGATTACGATTGATTGTCTATTCAAATTTTTGCCTTTTATTTATTCGATTAGAATATTCGTTAAACGAAATCTAATTTATATCTCGGGAAACAAGCAACTTTGTTATTGAGCAAACCATACCTGTTGCTGTATTAGCAGTAATACTCTGTAAACTGACCTTCATCGATATCGTATTTCCTCATCTTACACGATGATTGCATCTTCAATCGTTCGACAAAGTTTTCATGGTTAAATGTAAATATCTAAATATATATTGGCATTTATTTCATTTTATTTCAATAGAATTATGATAAATATAATAGTTCAACAATTGTTAATTAAAAAAAAGAAATTTTGAACTAACAATAGTTATAATTGCTATTATATAACGAACTTTATTTCAAATTGGAATTAATTCGTCACAAGTTATTCAAGATCACATTCAATTGCTATCGAAGTTCGTAAATATAACCTCACACGTGATAAAATCCGATTTTTTTTTAATAACTTATCGGTATTCTACTGGTTATAATTTTTTGAAAACAATATATAAAACACAAACTATAAACTGTAAACCGTAAACTGTAACGTTGCTTTATATTTTGTTTTTTTTTTTTTTTTTTTTTTTTTTTTTTTTTTTTTTT